CGTTGGAAGTCACCTAAAAGGATGATGCCTATGTCATGGCATATCTCTGAGACATCATATCCTTTCCGCTCTATCTCAGTGGTTATACGCTGCCATTGCCGCATCATTGCAACGGTGTTGCCGTTTGGTTTCAAATTCATGAGCATTTTGACAAGGAGTAGGCGTTCTTCTGCAGGTGAGACACCATAAACAGTATCTAAATGTGATAGGATCTCGCTTGGGTGTTGGGTATGATCTGTATGGACTTGATGGAGGATATCAAGGGTCAAACGGTCTAAAATTCGAGTATGTAACAGCTGCTTGGATGTGGTATAGTAAACTAACTGCAGTGAGGTATCTTTGGAGACGTCATTGAGGCGAAGTAAGACATCTCGGGCGCCAATATAGTCAGCATCAAACAGGAGGTTCTTTCTCTATTCAGAATAGTTATCCCGGCCTTGTAGGCGTCGGGTATCTCGCCAGTGAGTCTTTGCAAGTTCATGAAGTCTCTTTTCTTCCTCTCGGACTTCCTGTTTTTCTTGTTGAATTCGTCTTTGCTCATGCTCAAACGCTGACCGACTATCTGATCGCTCAAACAGTTCCGATAGTCGCTCCATAAGTTGACTATCCCCTCCAGACGATGTACGCTTAGGCTGTCTGGCCCGGCGGAGTGTATTAACTTCATCACGAAGTACACGAATGATTTCATCTCGATCATCTGCGGTTTCTGATCGGCGAGTTTGGTGTTCTGATTGGGTATCAGCCGGCTGGGCGGCTCCTTTGGCGCTCATATAGGCAAGTTCTTGGGGTTGAGGTTGTAGTTGTGGTTGGTCCCGCCCTTGATGGGGTGGTGTATTGGGAACTGGGTAATCGGCGGGGTTTACATGTGTTTGGTCGTCGATATCCATAGCCATTTCAGCATCAGGATTGACAGAATGGTGGCGTGCGGTATGAGGCGTCTCCTGCTGGAGGACTGCCGGCATCTTATTCTTCTTTGGGGGGCATATTGGCGAGTTTTATAGCGTCGCTTCGGGAAGTGGTGAAAAATCGTCAAATTCAGGGGTTAACGGAGCGTACGATAGCGATGAATTCTCGCAGACAAATAGCACAATCTGATTGGTCTAACAAGAAATTCAAACGCTAAAGGAACCAAACAAAGGCCTCTAAAAGGACAGTTTCTCGCTATAGAGCAAGAGGGCTCATAGCCTTTTAGTGTGCCAGGATAGTTAACGTAATCCAATAGCGAGCGGCCACTACAAGCGAGCGGCCACCGGGAGTATTGCATACAAAATGGCACTTTTTAAGACCCCAGTATCTCAACCAATGTTATAAGCATTCTATTAAGGATCATATCCTTTGAGTCAGCATAAGGGTTCACGGCATCATCTTGCATATGAGGGGTGATGTGCTTTCAGGACTTGTCTCCACAGCAGCTGGCAACATATGCCATGTGGAGTTGAGATGTGTCAAAGTGGTCCACATTGGCGGCCAGCTTCTGGGACATCAATAACAGCCAGTCCTCAAAGCAAGGCTCTTTTCCATCAGTGAGCAGTGGGAGGTCACTCCTTGACTGTTTGGAATACCACCCCACACAACCATCTTTGCTAACTGGTTGGCATAGAGGTGTCAGTCCTCCACCACTTCTCCCATCCTCTTCACTAGGTCAGCCTTCTCCAAGCAAAGTTCCTTCAAATCATCTTCTAAGGATGCAATCTGAGCATCCTGATCTAGCAGTTCTCCTGCGCTCTTTTGGTGCACCTCCAAGAGTTTGGTGTACAATCCTCAAGGGTTCGTTCCATACCACTGAGTGAACTCATCATAGTTCAGCTCTTGGAGGTCATCATCCTCCTCTATATAGATAGAGGATCATCGGTCTGGAGGCAGGATATCACTGGCTCAGGCCATTCTGTCAGGGCCTTTGTATCATTCAGTTCATTTCAGTTGACGTGACAGTCAGTTGTTGGTTTGGTATCAGCTACACCTGCAGCTTATCGGTTCAGAGTTGAATTCAGCATGGCAATTGGCGAGTTCATCAGGTTATCGGGATTGGATTGATCGGTCGGTGGTTGTGGGGGACACGCTACTATGGTTCCACGATCAGGGGATCGAACCAATAGAGTAGACGTGTGGGAAAGAAAAGAGCGAGATTCAATATTATGTCACGGGCTCGGAATAGTAGATAATATTGAATCGATGTTCCTATCTAAACTATTGTAGCCATCGACGAGAATATTGAATCTGGAGAAGAAAAGAGAAAAGGAAATCTATCTGGATAATGAGGAGGTTTTTTATAGGGGTTGTATAGCGGCATTTGTGATGTATCATCCGTTGATGCGGTGCTGGGCCGTTATATGTGAGCTATCATGTGTGAGCCGTCACACTAGCCAGGCTTTAGTGTCTATACCACTAAGCCACTGGCCGATCTAAATACAGGTAGCATAACCATGGATAAGACTGGCTGGGACGGGTATGAGTTAATCCGAACGCACACTGTAGCTATAGGCTTTAGATAGCCAAACACTCATTCTACCTTCTACGGTGTCTATAGAGATCAATGTCACCTCCTTTGGTGTAATCTAAATTTCTCGCCTATAAGCCTCGTGCAGTTCGGATAATCGACACCCCGACTTCCCCGATCCTGAGCTACCCGCTCATTTCTGATGAAGATCGGATGAATGTCGGACCGATCTAGTGAGCTCCGGAGAAGTTTTATCGTACGTCGATGGTACACTCTGGGGGAGTTCTAGTAAGCACTCTACAGCAGACTCAATACTACGTACATTCCTTACTGCGCGATACTGTCTCTACGGCCCACGGCTGTCATATGGGCCTCGTACGGTAATCCAGAGAATCGGCACCGCTGCCCCGAAGCTTCCCCGTTTCAATTTCATTTTTGACCGGAGGAATCTCGGTCCGGTGGATTCGGCTATATCTACCATTAGGGGTCGCATAGATAGAGAGTGCACAGGTCGCATGTAGGTGGGGCATTTTCGTGTCAGGTAACTAGTCCAAATTAGGCGATGGTCACATGATGCGCTACCTGACACGACTTT